ATGAACTGTTCGAGCTCCTCGTGGGAGCACGAGGCGGCGCCGATACAGTCATCAATGTAACGGAGGAAGAGGTGGGGTTTAGGGCCGGTGTAGGTACGGAAGAGGGATTGTTCCACGTAACCTACAAAGAGGCAGGCGTAGCTTGGGCCCATGCGGGTACCCATGGCTACCCCCTTTGTCTGTAGGAAGTGGGAGGAATTGAAAGAGAAGTTGTTGAGTGTGAGGACGAGTTCGGCTAAGCGGATGAGGGTGTCAGTGGAGGGGGACTGGTTGGGCCTGCGGGACAGGAAGAAGCGGAGGGCCTTAAGGCCATCTGCATGGGGAATGCAGGTGTAGAGGGACTGGACGTCCATGGTAAAGATGAGGTGTTGGGGACCGGGGAATTGGAAGTTCTGGAGGAGGTGGAGGGCGTGGGTGGTGTCACGGACATAGGTAGGGAGTTCCTGGACCAAGGGGGAGAAAATGGAGTCGAGATAGTTGGAGATCAGTTCGGTGGGGCAGGAGCAGGCGGAGACAATGGGTCGACCAGGGCATTCAGGTTTGTGGATTTTGGGAAGGAGATAGAAGCGGGCAGTGCGAGGTTGGGGAACGATGAGGTTGGAGGCCGTGGGTGGGAGGTCACCTGAGGTGATGAGGTTGTGGATGGTTTGCGAGATGATGGTTTGGTGCTCGGGGGTGGGGTCATGATCAAGGGGGCGGTAGGAGGAGGTGTCGGAGAGTTGGCGTCCGGCCTCGGCGATGTAGAGGTCAGTGCGCCATACTACAACTGCACCTCCCTTGTCCGCGGGTTTTATGGTGAGGTTGGGATTGGAGCGGAGGGAGCGGAGGGCTGCACGTTCTGCGGGGGAGAGGTTGGAGTGGGTGAGAGGGGTGGAGAGGTTGAGGCGATTGATGTCTCGACGGCAGTTGGAGATGAAGAGGTCGAGGGAGGGTAGGAGGCCTTGGGGTGGTGTCCAGGAGGAGGGGGTGTGTTGGAAGCGGGAGAAGGGGTCAGTAGAGGGAGGGTTAGGTTCACGGTTAAAGAAGTAAGCGTGGAGGCGGAGGCGGCGGAAAAACTGCTCTATGTCCAAGCGTGAGCGGTATTCGTTGATCTGTGGGTGGAGGGGGACAAAGGTGAGCCCTTTACTGAGGACTGACCGTTCGTCCTCAGTAAGGGGTAGGTAGGCCACTCAATATTACAATATTGCAGGATCCAGTTTGCCATTTGTATTTTTGGCTACTTGTATCTTAATGATAACATTTTCTCAACATGGACTGGGCGCCATAAAATGACTCCATTCTGTGTTAGAATTCATTGTCCTTACATTGGTATAAAATATTGGGTTCTTAAACCCATTGTCAGCAATGTCATAGACGATCAGCTGCTATGTTTAAAAGGTATTAGCCAGTTTAATCTAAAAATACTTAAACAATCACACATTTCTTTAATTCCAATGTCTCAAATTAATGGGTGATTATATTATGATACTACGAAATGGAATGAATATCCTCCAAATTGCATTACGCTGAATCATCAAAAAAGACTTATGTTTTCACCACTTGAATAGTAAACTGATGAAGCACATCATCCACTCATTACAGATCTTAACTGACTTTTATTTCAAATTTCACAATGCTTATAAAAGCTCACTTAAAAAGATGTCAACTCCTGTGAAATTAACATTGGAGAAACGCCTTTAGTTCAAATATACTGAATACAGAATGAATATTTGCAACAAAAGCAATTTCAATACATTGGCAAAAACGTAAACATTTTGTTGCAAAGGAACATGGCTTTTATCTACCAATAGTTCACTTCAGTTGCCTTGCAAACCAGTCCCATTGTAGTAATGCTAATGTATGTAGAATAGCAAAAAGCTGTTCAACATGGTAGAGAGTTATTTTTAAACAGCAGTTGCCTTCCTGAAAGGCTTTTTGCAGTTTCTCTGGGGAGGAGGAAGGTCAAATTATGCTTAGATTTATGTTCATTCACTTCCATTGTTTCAAAGTTACAGAAACCTGCATGATAAACACTATTATGAGTGTTCGATCCATCAATTGATGTAGCTCATTAACACTTCAAAACTTTAAAGCTTTCATCCGCTGACAAATAAGCATTGGGTAACAACAAGTAAGATGCCATATGGGATTTAACTCCTTGCTCACTGAATGTAACCTGTATTAATTTCACAACATAAATGTTAAGAAAGCTAGGCCATAGTAGCAAAAGTTATACTATGTGACAAGACTATAATAATGTTCTCTTTTTACCATGTAATTGATTGATTCATGAATTGCTGAAACCAATGACACTTTTTAAAAAATCATTTGTTCATCCACATTTCAACTCAATAAAATGTCTACTCACCCTCATGGAAATTGCACAGACTTTTCTCATTTATTCAGAACTTTTCAGCCCACAGAGTGAACAAGTGCACTAAAGGACATTCCATTGATTTTCTTTGTGGACTCACAGCATCAAAACATGCTCAGAAAGGCTATTTTATAGAAAAGGAAGTTATGTATTTAAATAAAGGAACTTTGGAAACAAAATTACCATCCATGTTGATCAGAAGTAGGGGCTAGATGTTACACTTGCTCGAGGTTCCTGCCCATTGGCACAAAAGTCAGGAATGAGATCACCCCCATTCTAGTGACTTGCCCTGCATCAATTTAATGACCTGTAGACCATTTACTGGCTCAAAGCAAGATTTCAGTCCCTACCTGAGAAAGAAGCCATAGCTCTAGGAGATGCTGGCGATCAACTGGCTGGTAGGCATCTGCTTCCAACGATACCACCAGGATCGGTAGCCCCTGTTGGAGTTACAGGGAGTATCACTGAGGCCTGTCAGTCTGAGAGGTCCCAGTGAAATGGGGTGAGGATTTTGCAGGGGCACAGTGCACAGGATAGAAGGAAGGGGTAATGTCAGGATAGTCATTCTTTGATGGGCCCATCGGGCTCCTAAACTAGATATCTTCCTTGCCCATCACTAATGCTGCTCGGCATTCCACTTGGCTCCAGCCTCATCTAGAGTAAATCTGTGGCTCAGCAGAAATATGCACCTTAGCCATATTTAATTGGACAAGATATGGACATGAGATGTTTGTACGAGTTGACATTTGAGGAGTGTAGAGGTAGGAGATTGGCCAGGAAAGTAATTATGTAATTGCATACAGAGGTGACAAAGGCACAAATTTAGATTTTAGTGACAAATCAGAAATTGTTGGAAAAACCTAATGGCTCTGGCAGCATCTGTGGAAAGAAAGCAGAGTCAACATTTTGGGTGCAGTGACCCTTCTTCAGAATGGACTTTGTTGGGGAAAGGTTAGTGTATAGGTTGAAGGTGGAGTCGGGAGCGGGTTGGAAGTAAACACGAGGGTACAGATAAAGCCCAGAGAGAGAGAAAAACAGCTGGGCATCAAAGAGGGACAGATAAAGGTCAGCCTGGGAGAACGAACAGCTGCTTACGGGGACCATAAATAGTTGACAATGGGCAGTTTGTGGTAGCGGCCCATGTGATGGCAAGATCAGGTTTTTGGAGTTGGGGTAAGGACATGGGAAAAGGCAGTCAGGCCCTAAACTTATTCAATTCAATAGAGTCCAGAGGACTGCAGTGTCGCCATAGGGAAAATGAGAAGCTGTTCTTCCAGATTTTAGTGACGGGATTGGGTGAGGCAAGGGAAGCTGCAAGGCTGATTAAACATGCTGTCTTTGTGATTGAGATGTCAAGTCAGGGTTGGAAATATTGGGTGCATTGCTACTAGATGAGTGGGGAGAGACTCCATATTCAATTGAATGACATGATTTCACCAACTGAAAATGCAAAGATTCAGCAGTAGCAGCTTGCCTCTTCATAACCCAATCATACTGTGCCAAGCTCTATGAACATATGTCACCTCATCCAGCCAACTACTAATATACATTAGCAACTGCAAACCTTTGAGAAAGCATTTTCCTGTTACCCTTTCAATTTCTAGATTAGAAAAAAAATGTTTTGATTGCTTTATTCTTGCAAGGAATCTCCACACTGTTAACTTGCCTTTTTCTTGAAAAGTATATTGGCAGACTTCCTAAAGGGCTCATTCTGAATTTTCTTCTCAATACAGTCTGTCTTGAATAGCCTTTCAACTGTAATATTGATAGCCAATGGGTTGGTAGTAGGGGTGCAAAATTGAACGTGGACAGCTGAGATATAGAAAAAATAGATCATTGCTAACAAAGTAATGTTCTTTATAATATTATTTTCATTGGTTGACTTTTTTCTCCAGTTTTTGATAATCTTCTGTAGAAGATATAGCAAGATATTAGCAGAATCATGTTTAAATTCCAGTACTTCAGAAATTCCGGGACTTCAGAGACTTCTGCAATTTGCTATTATTTAAACACAGTGTTACAGATTATTTTGCTAATAATACACAAATGTTGATCTGGATAATTTTTCTTTTACTGCAGTTAAATGGGTGTTTGGTACAAATCCAGGAGTTTGTACAAGTGAACTTTTCCTCTTTTGTTAACACCGTTGCAGCAAAAAACAAATCATTTCAAGACTAAAAAATGTAGAAACAACATTATTAGAGAGACAAAGCCTTTAAAGTCATTTAATACAGCGAAGAAAGCATCTGTTATCTGCATAAGCACTCATATTTACACTTAAGTATAAAATGGATGTGTTAGATAATTTTTATTTTCTCGATTTAAACTATATTTGTTTTTTCATCTCTTGCTATTTACAGAGGGAAAATGAACAAGTGGATTTGGAGTTGAAACAAGTATTCTATTTACTGTAGCAGGGGACAAAATGTGTTTGCACGGGAGAAAATATTCGACACACAGTGACATTCAAGTCCTTATTTTTTTCTGACAACTGCCAAAATAATCAAACTAGATTGCATCTGGAAGCATTCAAACAAGTATACTGATACATCTTGATGTCAAAAAAATGCACTTGTGACATCAGCAGAAAAAACACTTCTCCAATATTTTTCTGAAAAAAAACTATCTTGCATAATTGTTGGTGTACCTGTTTGACGTCATATGCAAGAAGGACAAATCTGAGATCTGGAGAGACAGAGTATTTTGTTGCTTTAAAAACCACCTAGGAAACAAAAAAATACAAGATATATTTAACAAAGGAATGCATTTTCAAATCTTATCCTAATATTATTCTTATAACAATCATTCGTTTGATAAGCAGTTTTGTGTTGTGTTTAAACTTTTGCCAGGGGTAGAGTAAAACTGTCATAATTCAAATAACTTGCACAAAAATGCAAGTTCTTAAATATTAACTTTCTCACAAACTGAAGCTTGGAGAATTACAGCTCCTTGAAGCATCTTATGAACTAACTTTTTTTTTATTATCCCCTGCCTCTTGCAAACAATAGTAGCAAGAAAGCAATTTTAGACTGGTTTCAAACATCATTTGAATCATTTCATTTTTGAGTTCTTGATGTTACTTAGGTCATAGAATTTACTTCATAAATATATTTGATCATATCAAAACTCATACCACTGAAGAAGAGGCATTGAACATCTGAAACACTGCAAGTAAAATTAAACACCCATGGAAATTATTATCTGAATAATACTGTTTTTACGTCAGTAACCCAAACTGTTTGCATGAACATTCTACTTTCTTTTATTATTTTCAATACCTATTTTCAGTGGTGAGAAACTTCAAATCTGTGAGATTATTCATGAGTAATGAATGTCTCAGCTGTCAAATACCAGGGCACATCTAACACTTCTGCAACTGTGAAGTTGTCTATTTATATGAGGTATGCTTAATGGCATCAGCAACAGTGTAAGAATGCATTTCAATGAAGAACTAAATTGCTTCTGAAAGTATTGGTATTTTAAGGCAGTATTGACATCAAATGAAAAATTACTGATAACAGAATTTTATTTTAAAAATATACAGAAATCTTTCAGAATTAGAGCTTTACAATAGCAAAAGGGGTACTTTTGGTGTGATATGGGTGTGATATTTCTTTTTTCCCTGCATGTGAACACAAGATATGTTTCTTTTAGATGAAAAGCGGACAAGCATTTTTCCTTGTCGTATTGTACATTAACATGTAAGTTATGGAAATAGCATATTTCCTAAGCTCAGCTCAACTTTTGGTGTCAATAGAAATAAGCAGGGACACACTTTTACATTTTCAATTTAGTCAAGAGCAATTACAGATGAACAACAAATATTGGCAGCAATGCTCACATCCTGTGTATAAAATTTTAAAAAAACACTGACTGGGATTGAAAACTAACTGCGTGAGCTACAGAGGTGCTTTGTCATTGCCGTGTCATTGTCACTGAGTTGCTCAACTTGTTGGCAATCCAGTGTACTTTTCCACTAGGTTTGTAGAATACTTTGTGTACCTGTGTGCTGATGAAGAGTCACCAGACTTGAAACATTAACTTTGCTTTTGCTGCTAGACCTGAATTTCTCCAGCATTTTCTGTTTCTTTTTTGTAGAATACGCTTCTTTCATACTAGTTCCTGTGATTAGCAGGGATTCATCTTAGCTTCCACTTTATCAACTACACATTATTTGATTCTAATAACCATGAACATCTTGACAGAAATTAGCTCTCTCTTCTTAAATGGATTAAGACATTTATTTCCAATATACATCTTATTGAGTGTGATTTTCTCTGCATAGTGTTCTTATGCAAAATAGTTAACTTAATTTGACATCGGTTCCATCTGGTGTATTAGCTTTAACCCACTCTCAGGCAGGATGGAAAGCCTGTGTCACAGATTTCCCTGACGGAGCTGTTGTATTGAATATATTGCAGTTGCAGTGTAGTACTGATAGAGAGGTTGTATACAAAGCCCTGTGGCAGGGTGCTACAAAGTGAATCACTCTACAGATATCATGTTGATCTTCTTGAGCATTGCTGTGGCTACACCAAAACGGGTGAATAATGGGTATTCCATCATACCCGGACACGGGTAGTCTCAAAGGTTAACCATTTTTGATGTATTAGACGAGCCACTCTTTGGGAATTTGCTCTGCTTTTGAAGCCACAGAACTGACATGGATGGTCCTGATTGGATCCCACTCCACATAAAGATGTTGGTAGTCAGGTATTGCTAATGATAATGTCATTGAAGGTTAAAGGGGTTTGACTGAACTTTCTCTTGCCTTAGTTGATCCTTTCGTGGATCTTAGATAGCACAAATGTTGTTAACTAATTGCCAGTCCAAGTCGGATATCACTCTATTCGTAGTGCAGTTTGCTGGTGCTAATTCACTACTGGAGGAGTTGTGAAGGGAATTTTCCACAGGATCATCAATAAATATTTTGACTCAGACCTTATTGTGAAGGAAAGGACATGGATGAAGTAATGGAAGGTGTTTCGGTCATCTACCCTTTCTTGAGGACATCTTGCAGTGATGTCTTGGGGTAGTGATGACTGCCCTTCAACAAGTCAATTATCTCTTGTTTTTGTCCGCTGTGACTCTAACCACTATAGACTTCCATTTTACTGGAAGTGTTTACTGTTAAACGATAAATGTCAAGGACCATAACTCACTCCTTTCCTCTGGGTTAAGGCTATGATGCAGACTGTGGACAAAATATTGCTTCCAGAACCTAAAGTGGTGAACAAAGTATTGGTGTGTAGGTGAGACTTGATCACAAGGTTGGCAGAATGCAAGTAACCTCATCCCATTTAATTCCTGGACCAGTTTGCAGAGCTCCACTGGCATAGATCTCACAATCGAGATCAGAAACCATATTTCTGATCCTGATGAAATGTAAAAGTAATCACTTACTTTCCTCCAAATTTTATGAGCAATCATCTAATGGAGAATCCTTCACATTCAACTCAGTTCAGGAATCTCTGTAGCAAGTAGTGCAGAAAATCTGTGCAGAAATTCCCCTTTTTATGGCACTAGCTGCCGTATTTCAATATGTGAAGGATAAATATACCAGAACTTCTCTATATCCCAGATAATCTGATAGGAAGATCATTGTTGCAGCAGCCATAGAGGGGAGTTGTGCATCGGGATCATGTGGAAATGCAGATACAGGTTTTAATTGTTGACATTTTTGAGGGGCAATTGCCTTACGCACAGAACCCACCAAGAAGTTCACCAAATCTGAGTTAGAGTCAGGAATTTTAGATAGTTCTGACATATTTAGCATAACATTTATCAAAGAAATGACAGAGCAATTAAAACCTACTGTAATTCTGTGTAACTATTAAACTGATCCCCTCAATCCACCACTGATCTCCTTAACTCACCTCCGAACCCCCTCAACCATGGTTACACAACAGTGTATAATTACTCTACTGCTAGAACTATTTTTTACCTGTCTAGCAGTTCCTGCGTAACTATCCAGATCAGTAAATTGGACCCTGCACAAGACTTGAACTCTTAAAACAGAGTTGATTTTTTTGAACAGTTCTGGAAGCAGGATAGTTGTCAATTGGATGTTTTAATTTTGCAGACAATTCCCACATAGTAATTGTGTCAGAACTTCCAAGAAGTTCTGACCTGTATCTTGAGGGGGTACATCTGGTCTCCAATATCTGTAAGACATAAGATTTGGCTATTGTTCTCCAAATTTCCCCTTTCACAATGGCACATACCCCATCAGATCTTGTTGGCATACTTAATTTAGTCACTTCAAAGTATCCTTTCTATTTCTCTATCCTTCCACCAACCTCCCCACCCCCAACTTCCCCACTAAGAAGAGTCCCATTGGTATTTTCCCTTACAAGCTCCATTTGTGAATGCCTCAATATATTTCTCCCTCCCTAAAAGTGTTACTCCCAGCCTCTTCTGTCCCTGAACCATTGAATCTATCCTCTCTTCATTATTCCCTTTGTCCCTTGCCTTTCACCTTCAATTTCCTCACATCAGCAATATGGGAAGTAATTACAGCTACCGTGTACAGTGGCAGCAATTCCTGTCTTGTGACAATGCTTACATAATAGTCAGAAACACTGCTGTTGCATAGTTGCAATATAACTTGTATTTTGTTACATTAAGAGGAGACTAATATAAAACTGTATTGTTAGTTTTTTTGGAAAGGTAGAAGATCCTTACTGATCCTATTTTCCTAAATCTCTCAAGCTCACTGAAGCATCTGGTGTTACATTCTCATTGACACTAATTAATCTCCCATCAGAAAGAAACAAGAGCATGGAAGTGATCGACATTTCTATCACTATAAGGCTTTACAGTCCTATGCCAACCCCATTCACATGACATAAAAACAACCTTAAAGAGTTTCTTTCCTTCTTGTCCAGGGCAATAAGTTGTGTAACCTACTACCCAGGTTGGTTGATGAGATAGAAATTATATTGACATTAATGTTTAGAATGGGTAGGTGAAGGACGCAAAATTGACAGATGGAATATTGGAACAAGGCAAATCAAAATGAATGGTCAAATTGTCCATGTGGAGATTGGTTGCTTCCGATGCTGTTTCACGGTTGTTAGTCCAATCTATTTTCAATGATCTTTACCAATCCACAAAGTAGAAGTCTAGCCTTTCCCCAAATCAGTCACTACTTGCTCAATCATTTCAACACCAGTAAATGAAACATCAGTGCAATGAAACATAGCCATAAAACTAGAAGTCAACTTAATCGGACAGGAACACACTTTCCACTTGCTGTCAAGTCAGACAAATTAATGGTCATTAGACCTTGCTCACTTCACACTATTTCTAAATCCTTTGTGATCTGACAAAATATTACACTTTCCACTGAGGTTCTTAGCTTTTCAAATTGTATTATACCCCTAGGGATAACAAAACAGATAGTTAAATTCAAATGTCTATTGCAGCAGGGATTTACACTGAGGTCCTTAGCAGAGGTCCATGCTTTATTACCTGATTGAACAACTTGTGACAACGAAGAAAACCTTTGTGCAAGGGTGTTTAATCATTTTCTGAATACAAGTCTAGTTCTGATTATTAAACCACATATGAAGTTAGTTCCTGGGGGAAATCAAACTCAAAGTATTCACATACATTATTCAGGCTAGCCTAACAATAGGTGTCAGCCTTTGTTCAGGGTGGAATTCTACTCAGCTGTGTGTCAGGTGGTAGTGTGTTCAAGTCCCACTCCAAATGCAGCAT